GGGCCGCGGCCCGTCCGAGCGCAGGGCAGGTCCCAGACTGGATCCAGTCTGAATCCTGGGCCCGTCCCAGTCTGGTTCCAGTGTGATCCCCGTCTGCGTCCAGCGTGGCTCTAGGCTGGTCTCAGTCGGGCTCCGGCTGCACCCAGGACTCAGCTGCTCTCCCAGTCTGCCCCCAGTCTCCGGCCCAGCCTGGATCCAGGTCTCACTGCAGGGCTCTGTCCCAGCTGGGCTTAGTCCAGACATGGAGCTCAGTCGGGATCCACCCCTCCTCCCAGAGCTGACTCTGTCCGGCTGCAGTTCTGTTCCTGGCCGATGTGCACCCGGCGCCAGCGCAGCCTGCGTGTCCCCATGGGCTGCAATAGCCCCTGTGCCACCCCTGCCTCCGCGCGCTGTGTGGGGACCCGGCCACGGTCCCACGCAGGCCCCTGGTGCCGCAGAACCGCCCGGCCACCCCACACAGGAGGTGCCTGTCGGGGCAGTAACCGCAACAACCATGAACGGGCAGGGAGGCACACAGTGATCAAAACCACCTACCCATGCAGTGCTCTTCATGGCCCGTGGAAAAGAAGAAGGGACATGGAGGTCAACCCTCAGAGTGGCCACCCACCCCCTTACAGCCAACGTTCCCAGCTTTCCCGAGGTCAGGGCAAGGATTCAGCCAGGAAAATGCATTTGAGTGTCTGCCATAGATGTTAAAGACATGTTTTTCATAGTTCTCATCCCAGAACAAAGTGAAAACCAGGTTGCTTCTGCTTGGCATGGACACAGTGCCCAAAGTTATAAACACAGCCTGGCTCTGGCTCTCACGCAGTCAGCCAAGGACCTGGAGAAGCCACTCGTGCCCTCCGGACTGGCCGCGTTATGGTATATAGCGTATCGATGGTATCTCTCCAGGAGGAAGCACAGGCGAGGAAGTGCAACAGGGACCGGGGTTGCCTCCCACTGGCAAGCGCTAGGGATAGAAATCCTTATGGAGAAGCACCAGGGACATGCCCAGGAAATTACCTTTTAGGCGCTCGATGGGTTAGTGGAGAGAACGTTGTGTCCAAAAAGGCTTTATCCTCCTCACGTCATCTCCCAGCACACATCAGCGAAAAGAAGGGGTTTGGCACATGGAAGGTTTGGCGAACACATGCCCCAGGTTTTAGCATCACAGCCCAACCCTTATATAATGGCAGTTACATAACTGAAATTCCTTATATAACAAGGAATTGGGGTCCGGAAGGGGAGGCGGCAGGGAGATACGGGCCCGTACCCGTCCCACGGGCTGCTCGCCTGGCACAGCCCTACGCGCCGGGGGAAAAGCGCTGGAGCCGCGGGACGGAGCGGAAAATCCACCGGCCAGGGCGCCAGCGGGAGCCCAGGCGCAGGCAGGGAGCACGGGATGCAGCCCGGCCCCGCGTCCAGGGAGGCTCCTCGGGAGCCCTGCGGCAGGAGCTGGTGCAGGGATTGTTCCCCAATAACGCTATTGCAGACAAAGGCTAACATGGAAACGGGGAAATTCTCCATCCTTTGCGCTGTCTGGGATAAGGGGTATTTCCTCCACATGTGGAAATTTCCTGTGTTGCAATTTGTACCCATTACCCATTGTGTTGTCGATGGTCACCACTGAGAAGAGTTTGGCCCTATCCTCTCCCTCTCCCCACTCTCCCTTCAGATATTTGTACATGTTGATAAGGTCTCTTCTCAGTCTTCTCTTCTCCAGACTAAAAAGGCCCAGCTCGCTTAGTCTTTCTTCACACGATAGATGCTCCTGTCCCTTAATCATCTTCGTGGCTCTGCCCTGGACCCTCTCTAGAAGCTCCATGTCCTTCTTGTGCTGGGGAGCCCAGAACTGCACCCAAAACTCCAGTGCGGCCTCCCCAGAGCTAAGGAGAGGGGCAGGATCCCCTCCCTCGACCTGCTGGCCACGCTCCTCCTCATGCAGGCCAGGATCCCATTGGCCTTCTTGGCCACGAGGGCACATTGCTGCCTCACGGTTAACTTGTCAACCAGGACAGCCTTTGCAGCAGGTCAGCCCCTAGTCTGTACTGATGCCTGTAAAGCAGCGTCACTTTGGAAGGACAGCATGGGAACTGTAGGAGACCAAGGCCATTTTGTGCAGACTGGGCCCTGCTGCAGGTGACGCCCGAGGCCAGGATCCCACCAGTGAGAAGGGGACACCCGCGCCATGATCCTGCTGTGACGCCAGGACATCGAGACGCCTCAGCCTGGCCGCAACCCTGCAGCCCGGGGGTTTGCAGTGTAGTGCTCGGCCACAGTGAACCTGGGAGACTGCAGTGCAGGAGTGAGCAATAAATACTTACGGACGGCCCTCTCACGGTGCCCCTTATGTTAGTGAACATCCAAAGGATGGTCTGGGGATGGCGCCTGTGATGGGTGCCAAGAGGGGACACTGCCCCAGCACCAAAGCAGGGGCTGCCATCCCATAACACTCCCTGCATCCCAGGCAGCTCCATGCCGGCCGGTGGGCCAGGAGGGCAAGGCAGGGCTCAGCGCTATTCCGGCACCACGGTGGGATGAGGGCCGGGGTGCTGCCCCATCGAACGCGTCGGTGCCGGCCGCGAGGGAAGCCCAGGGCTGAGCCCGGTGCCCAGAGCGCAGCCGGGGTCGGGGACAGACCCGGGGGACGCCC